TGTAAATAAATATTAACCAATGATTCCTCATTGCATCTACTTTCGGAAGGCCAAATAAAGTGCTTTTGCTTTCGCACAGAAACACACAGCGTCTCCCTGCATCAACACTACTGCTGTTCCTGAAACTACGCCTTCTTTCTTTGCATGAACATTTGGGCGGCATTACGCAAATATACATCGTGACGTAGAGATGTGGAGGCGTGTTTGAATGAGGCGTTTTAGCCCGGTCTGGATCAGCCTTCTCTTTTAGATAGAATAAATCCTTTTTGTGGGAGACTTTTGAGCTTTGTAACTCTGCAGATCTTATACATGCACAAATAGCTACATAACACACTAAAGAAAAGGAAAAATAGAAATCGCATCATGTGACCCCTTTAATTTCTTTAAAAAAAATCTTACTGACCCTACACTTTTAAACGGTAGTGTATCATAAACTATCCTGACAAGCTGAACCCTGAGCTGGACATATAGGAATTGAAAAACAAGAGCCTGGCAGAGTATCCAAACAAACTGTTTGTTCACAAATACATAATATACTCAATCTACATAACCAATGAACACAAGAGTTACTCCATAAGGCAAATTAAGCATTTTCATATTGTGCTCAAGAACTAACTTACAAAAGATTGAAAAATAATCCTGTATAACTTTGAAGGTCAAAGTTACTTGCTACAGTATCAAACATCTGGACAAAAAAGTCCTTGCTAAAATGTTTTCATCATTCTTGGTGCCTTTTACCATAGACGCCCACACAGTGATAATACAAAAAAATGATACTGATACAGACACAGGGTCGTGATCTCAAGGCCACAGTCTCATGACAACTGGACAGACTCCCTTTTAGGCAAAAAGTGTAAAAGACAAAGATTTAGTTTGAGAAACAGTAGTAATTGTGGCACTTGTCTTAGAAAACAACCTTGACTGTCAAAACCGAGATTTGACAAATCATATGACAATAATGACTACGTTTACATGGACATCAGTATTCATCTAATTATTTACCTTATTCTAAATAAGCCAATATTACGATTATGGTGTTTACATGAGTTACTTTTAGAATATTCCTTTCATGTTCCCGTTTTACATGTTATAGTACATAGTTCGATTAATGGCACACGTCATTACGTCCCCACGTGACGCCATCCGACGTCCCCTCCGGAATTTCACGTATAAACATATAGTTCGTCTTCGTGATGATGCCATGTACAGTTTTGGGTGTTTCATTTTTAATTTTATGAAAGCTTCAAGTGCAGTTAATTATTTGTACGTGCATACAGACGATGGCGGTGTTGAAGCTCTTTTATTTGCCGTCAAACGGTTGACCACTGCAGTGTGTGTATCCTGTCGCAAAATGCGCTGAAAAGTCCTACATGACGGTAATAATGTGATTAAGGTGTTTACATGTCTATTCTGCACTTCAGTAATGCGACTAAAATAGGAATACTCCACATGTCTTAATTCGATTTCTGTTTACTTCGATTATGACTTTAGCCGGATTAAGGTAATCAAAAATCTCTGTTTACATGGTAGATTCTTAATCAGAGTATTGTCTTAATCGTATTAAAATCGGAGTATTGTTGTCCATGTAAACGTACTGAATATCTTCTAATCAGTTTCAATATCCCCTTCATACAGTCTGATGTCTCAGTTCTTGCCTGAAAACAGTTTCAACCAGTTACGTTTCATTTCTGATCACTGAAAAACATCTATGCTGAAGAACATCCAGGATTTCCAGTTCCAGGTTCATATTTTCCTACCTGTAAAAGGTCTCCCAGTGATGTGCATCTAGTGTGATGTACATCTGATCAGTGCTGTAGATCTTCTCTCCATCCTTCAACCAGATGATCTCTGGCTCACTCAAACCCTCAAAGGCACAACCCAGACGGCCCATGTTACCCTGAGTCACCGTTTGGTTGGAAGGGTTTTTGGTGAACCGTAGCCCTGGAGGAAACTCAGTGTGACATGTTTCTAAAGCAAACTTACAACCAAAGTAATATCAAGACATTTGGACAGGAGACATTTGGACATACTTGATATGCTGATCATTTCATGATCAAAATGTTATATTTCTTGTAAACTGTGTAATACATATGAATTTCATTACATAATTAAACTCTCTATTTATTATCTATATTATCTATCTATATCTATTACATAGTTCATTTAAAAGACAGCAATATTATGGATAGACTGGAATTTTATCTGGAAGCAATGGTTTCAAGTTAAAAACACCTTAATGATGGATTTGTTCATTACAAATACACAGCTTTTTCGCTTCACAAACCGTTAACTGATGGATTACGTGTGGATTACTTGTGGATTATTGTGATGTTTTTATCAGCTGTTTGGACTCTCATTCTGACGGCACCCATTCACTGAGCAAGTTATGTAATGCTAATTTTCTGCAAATCTGTTCTGATGACGAAACAAACTCGTTGGCTTTCTTGGTGGCTTCCTGCCTTTAAATGTCAAGTAAATCACAAAAAAGACAGAGAATAGCAGAACAAGACATGTGCAAATGTAATCTATGCCTTAAAAATTTGGAAAGAAGCTTCATATTTCCTTCAAGACGTCTATTTTGTTGGGACCATTTCTGGCATCTCTGTCAGTGTGCACATTCTGACTGTGAACAGCAGTCGTCATGCATGCTGCAGATATCTGAAAGATCTCCACTGTGACAACACGACAGCTGGCCAAAACATCTGCATCAAAGATCACATTCTTCCCAGGAAACTACAGTGACCTGATATAACTCTACATCCATCTATCTATCCATCCATCCATCCATCCATCCATCCATCACAAATGACACTGATTCAATCAGCTGTGACAGAATAGAGGCTCTAAATAGCTGTTTAAGCAGAATTATTTTAATAACACTCGAAATGTTTATTTGGTTAAATAATGATACATAACAAAAGTGTGCCTCTAATTTAAACAGTCTCTGTTTAAATTACTCTTTTAGTCTTTTTTAGTCTCTTTTTGAAACACGTTTTCAAATACCTTCACCACAATACAATGGTTAAAATATTAAAACAATCTTTTATGTACTTATGTATGTATGTATGTATGTATGAATGTACGTATTTTTTTAATTTATTTTTTTTAATCAAACTCGACCACAATAACAAAAAAAAAACAGAGATGCTGAACTGGTTTAAATTCGTTCAGGCTCCATTAGTTTTTAATCTGTAATGACATCCAGTCAATCCTTAGCATTTAATTAAAAATGAGAAATTATTATGTGAAAGGTTATAAAAGAGGGTTATAAGAAATTTCTGCTTGTGTTCATAATAAATGTCCCGTATATTTACACTTACACCGATGTTTATCGTGAAACACAGCATCTACGTCAACACATCAGCACTGATGAGTTTAAAGAAACACTGCGTTCACAAACTCTGATTAAACGATTATTAAAACAAACTTACCATGAATTCCCTCATTGAAGTGTAGTAAAAAGAGCAGGATACAAAGAGAAACCCCCATTATAACATCTTCTGTTAAAGAGCTGAGTTATCTCCTTCACCTCAGGAAATAAAGTTTGAACAGCAGTGATTATTGAATTAAGTTGGTGTTCGTAAATCCCATTGTATTCATAGACTTCACCGGAGTTTCAACTTCAAAATCACCCTCTTGTATTTATTTCCGTGATTAAACCGGTAAAAGTGGCATTTTGCTCATTGTTTTGATAAGTCCAATACGAGTTCGTGAGAGCGCGGTGATCATCGTTCAAGTCAAGCAGCTCGATTTAGACAAACACTGTAGGAAACATCTGAGGAGTCTGAGAGGCGTGAATAAACGCCCCCTGTATGTCACGTGACGCAACTACACTTCACACCACCACAAACCTCAGAATGTCATTTACAGCGTAGGATTTTCAAACTTTTTGAAGCTAAAGAGGTATTTTTTAAATGTATGCTATATTATAAAGACAGCATGCTTTTGCCAAATTAAATAATTTTCTGTTTTTTATTATATAATTTTATATATTACAGTAAAGGCAACACAAATACATATTTCATTATATATAAAAAAAAATAATAATATAAAAATAATAGGTTCTCATTTACAGAATTATGCAAGAGTTTTCAAACTTTTGAAGCTAAATGCATATTTTCATATATATTATATTACAAAAATGCTTTTGCCAAATTAAATAATTAGCTTTTATACTGGCTCTTATTATATTGTTTTATTATTTCATATTGTAGTAATAGCTAAATAAATAAATAAATGGTCCATTATATTTTACAAATAAAAATAAAATAAAATGTAAATATAAAACATAAATATTTTTTTTTTATAAATGTGAAGAGAAACATTTTTAATTCAAAATTATTTGCATTACTTTTTTCTCCAATGAACACTGTAACAATGTAACAATCCTGTCCGACATGCGTGTACAATGGTGGTAATACCATGGTACGTTGATTATGGTCAACTGACATGGAAATAATTTTGTCTGGATCTATTAAGTCATTCTATATTCTGCTGATTTGAAAGAAAAAAAGAGAAGAGATTATGGCTGAAGAGTGATATTAATTCCAGAATAAATTTAACTTAAATAACAAAACAAAAACAAATAGCTAGTCATTCTGGATTATTTCACTTGATTGTTATTTTACAAATAAAAATAAAATAAAAAGTAAATTATAAAACACAAAGAAAGTGTTTATATATATATATATATATATATATATAAAATTGTGACCAATGTCAAAGTAGTTTAACAGAGAATAATGCCTTACAGTCTCTTGCTTTTACATACTTTTTCTACATGTTTAATATCTTATTTATTAATTCATTTATTTACATTTTCAGTTTTTGTTTATTCGTTAATTTTTCATTCAGCCATTCCTCTTATGACCTGCAAACCACCTTGCATCCACCTTAAAACCGGACTGAACCCCTTATCTGTTGCTATATTTTTTGTAAGTTCCCTCTCAAGGTGCACTGGGTCAGTACGGTGAGCGGCCTCTAGTGGTCAAACGTAGCACTGTCTGTCGTTCTCCCGGTGGGCCGGAGTGAAGCGTGACTCCGCGCACTGTAATAGGAAGTTCCCCTCCAAAACTTTTAGGAAACAATCCTGTCCGACCTGCACCAAATGAACGACGACCTCATAATCCTAATCATGGTAAGTCCGACGACGGTCCATCTTTCAATGACCGCTCCTATCGATGTCTCACTGCATAAATATTCATGCTTTGACTGAATGACTAATGAATTTGAAGAAAATAAAAGCAGTGTTTGTGTTTTGACGCCGCGTCAGACGGTGTGTCACTCTAGGAGGGATTTAGGCAGCAAGTTGAAGGCGCTAGTGTACTTCTTTGACTACTAGTTACGACTTGTCTAGAAATGGTAACACATTAGACCTGTTTGAAACATTCCGGCTTCAGTCAAGTGTTACTTTGTTAGTCGTAAACTCGTGCGCCGCTGTTTGGAACGATTTAAGGACTATGTCTCAACACTTAGTGAGCTGCCTACCTAGACAGCGGTTTTGGGCACTTGTTTTGGTATATCTTTACAAAAGAGTACTGCGTGTACAGTGGTACTAATACCACGGTAGGTTGATGTATGGTCAATGACATTGAAATAATTTTGTCTGGATCTATTAAGTCATTATATAGCCTATCATGCTGAGACGGGGAAAAAGTGTCGTTTAATTTTTTTCTTTCTTTCTTTCTTTCTTTCTTTCTTTCGTTTTTTTATTTTATTTTGTTTATTATGTATTTTGGGTTTAATAAATTCGACAGTTTTTACTTTTTACGTTTTATTTTTAACTCTTATATTATTAATAATAACTTTTATTTTAAATAAAAAAAATGAACAGATTATGGCTAGGGGTGCTCCGATCGGGATTTTTGAGACCGATCACAGAAAGCAGTATCTACCGATACCGATCTTTTTAAAGCCTTCTTTTTATAATTTATAACTATTTATAGTGATACTCCAATCAGGATTTTTAGACATTTATTCAGGGCCTGAATTTCATTTTTGAAAATGGGAGGAATTCCCCTCTTAGGTGACTCTTGTGAGAGGGGAAGCAGCTTTCACACAGGAGTCCGCTACTGATCCGTGTTTACCACAAACA